GTAAAGTTAGAGTAGACGTTAATGAAGTAGAAAACGAGTCATACAAATAAAAAATAAATCCAGTCAAATAAAACACTGGTTAACAAAATCAAGAAAAGGATGGTGAGAACAATACAAAATTAAAGGAAGGGGGAAATAATCTATTTAGAAGATTTGTTATTCTTGCTATTTCACAGGGAAATTTAAGACTGTTAGGATGTTACTCTTTCAAATTGACTTTAAAACCTCAATGAGTAGGACAATTTTCTAGAAAAATCTATCAGCCTCTAGAAGATACAGAAAACTTTAAGTTGTCAAAGAGCAGCATTCCCCAACACACACTAGGTTTAGTAGGTTACATATGGTATTCTACCAAATTTTAAAGACCACACACAGTAATTTAAAGAATAAATTGATGTTAGCATAGAAAAACAAAAAATTATCTTTCTGAAACAAGCATTCCTTTGATAAGAAAACCTAACAGCTTCCACATACACACAACATCTAGAGACAAACACAGAATATGCATATTAATATGCCCAGGAGTTCATCAAACTATTCTCTCTACTTCTATATATGCATACAACTTTCCAAAATAAAAAGCTAAAATAAATTTACCCATGAGATAAAAATTATATCTAGATATCTAAAAAGTTTGACAAAAATTTGGTGAAAGTGTAGGAAAATAGACACTCTCAGACACTTTTAGTGAGAGGGTAAACAGACAACCTCTATGGAAAGCAATTTGACAATGTTTATCAAAATTTAAATGCACATTCCTGCTGATGTAGCAACTCCGTGTTTAGGAATCTGTCCTACGTATGCATTCAGATATGCATGAAATTACAGGGCACACAATAATTCACTGCAGCACTGGTTGTAATACCAAAGCCTGGAAATAACCTACTAGACATCAACAGAGTTGCCTAATTATACTACACCCACATAATCAAATTCTTAAAAGTCATAAAAAAAGAAACAGGAAATTGTGTAGGTGCAGATAGGGAAAGCTCTCGCATTAAATTTTAAAAACAAGATACAAACAAAGGTATAAGCCACCATTTACGCAAAAAAAAAAAGGAGAGGGTAGTTAATCTTGTTTATCTTTTTGACTTTGGAATCATGTGACAATAATCTCAGGTCAAAACGAAAATTCCATTTTAAAACATTCCACCTGTTGGGCATGGTGGTGCATGCCTACAGTCCCAGCCCTCAAGAGGCTGAAGCAGAAGGATCACTGTGAGTCTAAGACCAGTATGGCCACACAGTGAGTTTAAGGTCAGCCTGAACTACACAGAGGCCCTATCTCAAAAAAAAAAAAAAATTCCACCTTTGGAAATGTACTACAGTATTGCCTTTATAAACTAATAATCCATTTACAAGATTTGTTATTCTTGCTATACTTGCTGAGTGGTAGCCATATGTCCAAAAAAAGAAAGAGTTCAAGAAATGTTTATTATTTTAAGGAACTTAGAGAAATACTGCACACAAATAAAGGGAGACAACAGACAGAAGGGCATCTATCTAGTCAGTAATGTTTAACCCTGATGAAGCTTTAGAATGATCCGGTGATCCAATTATCCATCCCCTGCACCCCAATCAGACAACTGACATCAGAAATACGGGGCATGAGGATCTAGCCTAAAAATCACTAGTTTCAAATGCTTTCAAACAGAAAACCCCAGGAAGTATTTTGCTTCCCCAAAGGACATTTAGCAGTACCTGGGAAACATTTTTGGTTGTGGAAATTTAGGATGGCAGTATACTACCAGCACCTGTTGCAGGCCAGGGATGCAGCTAGATCTTCCAGAATGCACCAGACAGTCCCTCACAACAATCAGATGGCCTAGAACTTCAAGAGTCCTGAGGTGGCCAATCCCTGCTTTAAAACACAATCATTACTAGCTGGGTATAGTAGAAAACTCCAGTAATCCCAGCACTTGGAAGGCTGACTCAAGAGAATCGCTATGAGTTCAGGGCCAGGCTGGGATATGTAGTGAGTTTAAAGACAGCCTGAGCTACATAGCGAGACCATCTCAAAAAACCAAAACCAAAAACAAATAAATAGATGTTAGCGTAGAAAAACAAAAAAATTATCTGACACTGGAATTAGGGTTGCTGATTAAAGGTGGCCTTTCACTTTATTTGTAATTTTTATGCCTCAAAAAAGATCAGTAGCATATAAATCTTGAAAGTCAGCAATACAAAATTAAATAATAAAATGCTTCTGACGTAATGCCCAGTTTCAGTGTTCACTCCTAAGCACAAGAAATAATCTTCTCATTTTCTAATGTGAGATATATTAGCATACAAAAGTTATTTCAGTGACCACAGAAACTATAATTTATTTGTTGACATGATTATAACAAATACTGTAGGCAAAAATTCTGTGCCCATTCTTTCTCTGGTCCCTTTGTGATTACTTAGGCCAAAACTGAAGTCCCATTTATTTGTAAAGTACTCAGATAGAAAGGTGTAAGGCTCATAAACAGGCATCCCAGAGGCCAACATGGTCCATCCAACAGCTAGTTTAATAGTTTACAATAAAGGTCTTTAAAGACACACACTGAACTGATGCCAGTTAGGTGTCCTTTCTGGAGTCATCCATACTTCAGGTTTCCCAACAAGCCCCAGTAGCTGGCTTCATTTACTCCCCTAAGTATGTGAGTTGGCCCTCTGAAATTTTCTCCCATCACACTGGGCACACAGCCTCTTTGCTCCTCTCCCTCCTCACGTTAAAAAATCCCTCCTTCCATTCTGAAAGCTCAAATTTCCCATCACTTGCTAAAACAGAACTTCTATCTAGAGAGAACTAAGAGAAAAGTAGAAGCAGCAGTGGCCTTCATGGGACAACTCGTTTCTTTTAGTTTTCATGTCATTAAAGATAGGCTCATTGCTACCTGAATTGTTTCAGGCTGTTGCAGACAAGGCTTGTAGTTTTGAGCAAATTCCACTATAATTATGGACAGCTCGTCTATGTGCATCCTTACAAGGAAAACACTTAAATTATTGTGCTTCTCTCATGATCCTGGATTAGTCAAGCCCTCTACCCCACCCCAAAGTAAGTCAGAAGGCTTTGAGAAAGGTCTGTCAAAAAATTTGATAATGTTCTTTTAAAAAGCTCATCCCTTTTCCTTTGAAATTACAATCACATGGTTTTGAAACTAAGTTTAGGATTATCTGATACAACATTTTATTACTGAGAAGGAACTGCACAGTAAGCTTTGGTCACTTAGCCAAGACCATATGAGTTAGTGGCAGCCTCAGAATGAAAACATTCCTTCCAGATACAGGCCCCATAGATTTTCCATGATGACACTATCACCCATTTGGTTTTCATACTCAACATCCTAACCAAGCCAACTATTAACACGAGTAGATGCTACTGCAATAGAAATGAATTTGGTTTTTTGTTTGTTTGCTTTTGTAGTACCAGGGATTGAACTCACAACCTCGCACTTGCCAGGCAGCCGCTTATGCAACTGAGCTAAATCCCTAGCTCACTAAAATGAATTAACTAAACGTGCAGCCACACTATTAAAGCTTCCCTAAACTTTGAGAATGGGAAGAACTTGAGTTCAGCTCTAGATCGCTTTCATCCTTTTCTGAAGTAACCTGTCTCAATTGGTTGATACCTTTGAAATCTCTAAACCAGGGAGGGGAGTGAACCTATGGCATGTGTGCAGCAGTTGGCTATTTGTTATCATTGCAAGCTCTGAAAGGTTCACCATCACTGCTATAAACCATAAATTAAAATGGAAAACAAGCCTTTTTATAGCAACAGCGGCATTTTTGTCCTAAACTCTGAAGTAAGGCCTCAAACTTCTAAAATTCTACACCAGGGAGGGATGTTAAGATGTGAAGATCAGTCTCTCACTGAAGTTTAACTTTTATCAGTCTCTGGCAAACTGGTTTCTGCAATTTTAATTTGGTCTCATCTTTAACTGTCTTCCTACCCTTTTTTTTTTTTAAAGTATGGACAGCATCAAGTTTTGCATTTTGGGTCTTCCTGAAATGTTCTACCTACTCTACATCATAATTTTTATGCTTGACACCATCTCTTGCAATTCACATAAAATTTATTAAAAGAACAAAGGCCCCATTCTTTTCCCTAAAGAGCTTAGCAAATCTTTGCTGCCCCATTTTATTTTTCTGCAAAGATGCCGAGTTCATTCTGATACCTGAGTGCACACTTGTGTTTCACTTTCAGGTGTTTCACAACTGCATTCTACCGCAGCCCCCTCTGGGGAAACACGATCTAGTTAGAGAAAGTGGTGGAATCTATTCCTGTCTCAGCCAGGCCAAACTAAGGCAGGTAGGTAGCCTAGGTCTTGTGGGCCAGCTGAGCTGCTGCAAGCTACCTACCAGCCTTCCCGGCGGGGAAAGCAGATGGGAAGCCAAGGGAAAGGAACAAAACAAGAGGCTGGCAGAGACCAAAGTTATCCTAGACCCTGCTCTGACGCTACGAGCCCACACAGGCGCTCTTCTCCAGCATCTAAGGCGTTTGCAGTCCAGGCCTCTAATTGCTATACGGTAAAGCATTAAGATGAATACAGTTGAGTCCTGCCAGTCCGGCTACACAGCAACACCTTCGAATAGAAAAAGAACACAATGCCATTGCATAATTTACTCAACCCCAAGATGTTTCTAAACAGTTCTTACCCAATCGAAAAAAAAAAAAAAAAAACCCTAAAAATAAAAGCATTCACAAGCCTCCCACATTTCATTCTGAAGTTTTGCATCAAGTAGATTTGAAGCTCATGATGGCTGGCTAGGGAAGTCCCGCCCGGCATGGTGACTCTGGGACGCAGTTTCTGTGTATCTGGGTTAGCCCTCAGCTGGCTGCGAGGGTGTCAGGCCCTGTTCCTCCGCACCCCGAAATCCGAGCCAGGAAAAGAGCTCCCTGCCACCTCCTGGCCCCGCCAGCGATCCCCCTGGCCTCTGCCCCGAAGCTGTGGAGACCCGACGGCGAGTCGCGCCTTACATCCTGGGGCCATGGGGGCCCACGGCCCCGCACTCACCAAAGTCCAGGAACTGTTTGATGGAGAGTGGCGACGGCGAGAAGCGCGAGTAGCGCTCAATTTGCTTCGGCACCGCCTGCTTTAGCAGCCACAGGGACAGCCGCATCCTCGCGGGAGTAGCGCACCGACTAGACAAGACGTCCTGAAGGCCACAAGGGCCCCAGCAACTGGGTCTCACCGATCTGGCACGTTAGCCGCGGCGTACCTCGGCCTCTCTCGGCCTCGGGGCCGCCACAGGAGGCGGCGCGGCAGCAGCAGCTCACCGCCTACGCCGGGCTCCCACTGCTTCTTTAGTCTCCGCCCAGGAGGGCGTGGCCAGCCGCCGCACGTACACAGCGCACAAAGGGTACTAGGGGCGTGGGGGGCACGCGGCCAGACGCGCGTGCCGTTGATTGGCTGTCGCTGCCGATCTTAGTGATCTGTGAGAAATTTGCAAGCTGCCCGGGGTTTCCTAAGTCTGTTGAGACTCGGATCCTCTACCTGGCTCTTAAGACCCAGTCTGGCTCAGATAGTGCCCCAGGTCCTGGCCTCGCCCACGGCAAGGAACTCCGGGGCTGAGAGGTAGATGAGGTACTAGGAGACCTGAAAGAAGCAAGGAGCCCACGATGAGACAGGATCCTACAAGAAGCTCAAAATATTTCCTAGCCCAAGGCGCCACTTCTGTGAAGCCTTCCCTCCATCAGCTGACTATTGCAATTTAGAGTGCTCCTTGCATGCCTGCCAGTTTGATTTTCATGTGCTGCTTGTCATATTTATTATATCGGGTTGTTACATGCCCTGCTATTGGGCAGTATGAATTGTTGTCACTGATTGTTTATACGCCCCGCCCCCTCCCATTCAACCCTCCCCCCCCCCCAGAACACTACAGGACATGATTGTTAGGTCACTGTTTCATGATGCTCCACCCCTCTTTCCCACTGTGGCCAACCGTTGGGCAAGATTAGTCATTAAATCAAAGCATTGATTCTGTTTCAGCCCAACCCGCCCCACACACCATCATTACCACTGTACGGGTGTTAGTGGTAACTAACACTTTGTTTCAAGACCCCTGTCCACCACCCTCAATGCTATTGGACAGTAATGATTAATTTCATTTCATCAACGTTTCATGCCCCAAGCACTATCATGTGCAAAGGATCAAATGTAAGGACGCTCGCACTCTTTGATACTCCCACACCAACATAAGACTCTGTCCCACTTCAACACAGGTCTATGCTTACGCCTGTTTTGACTATTCTTTATATAGCAGCAAATTTCTCACAGATCACTATGAAATCATTATTACCGTTGGGCATGGTGACTCACACCTGTAATCCCAGCACTTAGGAAGCTGATGCAACAGGATTGCCACATGTTCGAGACCAGCTCGGGCTACTTAGTGAGTTGAAAGCCAGCCTGAACTACATAGCAAGACCCTGGCTCAAAACAAAATAAATCATTATTACCTAACATAAATGCATGAAATTCTGCTTGCTGTAACCATTTCCACCAAATCTTGACGTAATGTTTGGGTATGTCTAAATACAAACTCTAAAGAAATATAGAATGTTCTTTAAGGGAAGGTAAAAATGTTATTGGAAAGCACTCCTTTCTTCTCATTGGACTAGTTTACCCATGTTTTATGTCTTTTGAATGAAATTATTAATATATAGCTGTTTCCTTTTCATGCCTTTCTTGGGTATTTACTCATTTCTTTGCTTCCCTAAAATAGTTGCATCTCTGGTTCTAGTCTGTTGTGTTTTATTTAATTTCATTATGTGTGATAGTATGGACAACTTTTTGAAGAAAATGAGATGTTATATAGTAAGCATTGTTCATTTCCTATTATCTGGTTTTGAAGTCCTGTAATGCTTTCATTCTTTTGATTGGTTTTATACTATTTTGTTGTGTTTGATGGTATCATGTGTGAAGATATGGTTAACTATTTTGAAGAAAACAAGAGACATTATGGTGGCCACTTTGTCTTGTTGTCTTGTTGAGAAGTCCTGTGTTGCTTGCATTGTTCTGTTCTGAATTTCTTTATTCTCTTATGTTTTGCTTTGTTTTATTCTCTTTAAAATAAAAAATTTTAAATAGTTGTATCTCTACTTTCAGCACTTAAAGAAAAGTAACATATATACTTAAAGCTATCTAGTAGTCTTCCCATATTTCCAGATTTTCAAGTACAATTTGATCATCCTGATGGTGGTATGTAAACGATCCCGCCTTTTGTATTTTAATCAAAACCTAAGAGAGATATACCGACAACCTTTCTAACCGGCAGCTTTACCAGCAGAGCTAAGCACTACACTTGATGTGCATGGGTGCACAAAAAGAAAACCACTGCCTCTGGGTCCTCTAGCGACTTTCTCAGGTTCTACCTGCAGATGTGTAATTGGTAGACATTATGACAGTTAGTGGGCAGGAAATTTTGGTAGAGAAGAAGGGTTTTGCAACATAGTTCTGCTGATCTTTCTGAGCTTGTAAATCATTTGTTTGCACCTTCAGTTTCTGCTGTACAAACTGCTACTTTAAACTTATTCCACTGATTTGATTATTTGAACTTTCATGTGCCTAATTTTACTTATGCATCTCCAAAAGCTGGCAAAGGCCTAGAGTCTGAAAAAGCCTGGTATAATGGAAAATGCTTTGATCCAGGACATAAATGACCCATCTCAAGCCTGGTTCTACAGTTAACTGTGCAACTTTAGACGAGTCACCTAGACTTTCTGTATCCCAGTTATTTTAATATCAGATGGAGACAGCTTATTTTTATCCCTGGCATTTGTGACAGGCAGGTAAAAGAAATCACGTCTAATATAAACAAAAGGTATTATTTTATCTCTTTTGTACAGCAGCACAGATATTTTATGTAATAGTTTTATGATAGTTGACAAAGTCCAGAAGCCACAGCAGTGGGTTGATTTCAGTGGTGGTTATACTTAAACGATCTTTTTTTTTTTTTTTAAAGAACTCTACTGACCAATGCTAAGCATGGTGGCGTACACCTATAATCCCAGCACTCAGGAGCCTGAGGCAGAAGGATTGCAGAGACTTGTAGGCCAGCCTGGGCCACATAGTGAGTTCAAGATCGACCTGAACTACAGAGTAAGACCCTGTCTCAAAAAACAAAACAAAACAAAACAACCACAGCAACACTCCACTGACATATACCTCTAGACTAAGAAATGGTCTCTGGAAATAAATACATCTTAAAATTTTTTCCATTTCTTATACACACCAGATCTTGTGCAGGCCCCATTCCTAGTGGCTCCCAAAGTGAAATCCCCGGGCCACAGCAAGAGCAGAATTATGTGGGTACTTATTAGAAACACAAACTCTTGGTCCCCACTGTAGCCCTAGTGAATTAGATACTCTGGGAGTGGCACCCAGGAATCTATTTTAACACACTGATTTAACAAGCTTTGAGGGCTTTAATACACGGCCACAAATTTTTTGATACTTCTCTCAAGTAATGGAGCTTGATTCGCCTCCCTTTGAGTGTGGGCTACACTTAGTACTCACTTCTAACAAATAGCATATGGCCAAAGTGGTAAGATCTCACCTCAGAGATTAGGCTATAAAACAACTGGGGCCCCACAAATTATTTCTGATCACTACTTCTCAAAACTATCAAGGTCATTGAAAGCAAGGGGAGTCCAAGAAACTGTCACAGCTAACAAGAGCCTCAGGAGATATGACAACTAAGTGTAATATATTATCTTGAATCAGATTCTGGAACAGAAGAGAATATTAGCTTAAAACCAAGGAATTCTAAGTAAAGTATGGACTTTGGAGCAACTTGTTTAATTAAACCTAAAATTTAAAGTAGCATAAGAGAAAACAATCCCTGGTAATCTCCCCAACAATCACTTGTTGCAAGATCTTATAAAAAGATCCACCATCCACCATCACTTCACTGGGCCACAAGATCCTGTTGTTTGCTCCTCATCTCTGCTGTCAACCAGTACTTTTTGAGAACCTGTTATGTACTTTGTAAAAATACCTATGTTATCTCTTCACAATAAATATGATGGATGAGTTTTAACCTCATTTGAAAGGTAAGTGAATAAATTTACAGGTTAAAATAATTTAAGCTTGTACAGCTTGTAAGTAACACTATGGATTCAAATTTATGAATCTTGACTCTCAATTCTGTGTTCTTTCCTGCCTTTTTTCAAAAGACCTTATTTTAAAAAGCGTTTTAGGTTCACAGCAAAATTGAGTGGAAAGTATGGGGAGTTCCCATGTACCCTTTCACACACCACCTACCCCACCTTCAGCAACCTCCACCAGAGTAATACATTTATTATAGTTAGTGAACCTATATTGATACAATATAACTCAAAGTCCATAGTTCACATTAGAGTCCAATCTTGGTGCTGTGTGGTCTGAAATTTGACAAATGTACAGAGACATATATCCACCCTTGTAGTTACTTAGGGAGTATTTTCACTCCCCTAAAAGTCCTTGCCACTCTGACTATTCATCCCCCCCCTCCCGCATAATTCCTAACAAGCACTGATCTTTTTACTGTTTCTGTAGTTTCACCTTCTTCAGAATGTTATATGGTTGGGGTTGCACAGTGCATTACCTTTTTGAATTGGCTGCATTAAAGTGTCCTCCATGTCTTTTTGTAGCTTGATAACTTACTTCTTTTTAGGGCTAAATAATATCCCATTGTGTTGATGTACAGTTTATTTATCCTTCCAAGATTTGCCAGCCCACATTTTGATTTTAAAACTGGCAAGTGAGATTGTGAAGATGAATAAACAAGCAGAATGAGAGCTACTTAGTAAATTTATATCTTTAATCAAATGCACATGATTTGAAGCAATAGCTCTTTTCTTCCAAGTATCTGGGGCAGCGGTGGTAAACCTTTGGCAAGTGTGCTACAGCAGGCTGTTTGTATCATTGAAAGTTCTAAGAGATTTGCTATTGATGATCTAGAATCTAGATCCAACCCTTTTATCCATTTTTCCTTATCCCTTCACTTACAACTAGAAAAAAATCTCAGCCTTAGTAGTCTTTCTCTTCCTCAAAAGAGATCCGAAAAGATATTAAGTCTGTGGATGGGAAAGGATAATTATTGGCCAGTGAAACTTGTATTTTGTTTTTGCTGCTCTTACAGAAAGGAGTAGCTTTGGGTGCTTGTGATTTGTAGTATTTTTTTAACCTATTTTTGTATGGCATAGTATTCTGGTTTCAAGGATTGAAAACAAGTTGGAAGATACTGGAAACATTTGTATAATCTCTATAAAATTCACTGGTAACTACTACTTTTGTTCACTTGTCTATGGAGATTATTTGTGCTTTGAAG